AGCAGGAATTTTGAGTGATCCTCACGTCTCTCTCTCTCGGCACTCACTGCTCACTGTGCTACTACGAAACACTCTTGCGATCCATCTCTTAGTTCCATGATGACTAGTGGTCTGGACTAGTATCGCAAAACCTGAAAACAGGATCTAGATTTTCTCAAACTCAGTTTTTGTTACAGACCAGTGACCAATAGCAGAATTTCCTCACCTGCCTCTTTTCAGTAGAGCTAAGACCCTGAGAAAATCTCCCCTGTGAAGGGGAGTGAGGGGAAAGTATCTAAGCCATGTTCTCTAGTTCAGCCATTGCTGTAGCTCCCTCTATTTGGGTGTTAGAGGGTGAGTGCCTGCTCATTAATAAAACTGACATTCTGACCTCCATTTAGCCAGTGAAACTTACACATTTCTAATGACTGGAATCCAAAGGGAAAGAACAATGAGTCTTACATTCCCTGAAGTCTAGCACCTTGATTATTAGCTCAGATCAGGTTATATGAATATCTGATTATTGCAACATAAAGTAATGCAGTAGTAAAAAATTATAACTACTCTGCACAACACTAGAAACCACAAGAATAATTTGAATTAAAAACATTTCATTACAGGCATTGAGTATATTGTAAGATATTTTTAAAAGTCTTAGCTACTTTAGATGCTTCAATATACTTGTAAGTCAATTACACACCTACCTTCACAGAGAGGAACCTCATTGGTCCATCCATCTGCTTCGCACTCACGGTAATTGACCTCACCCAGCATTTGATACCTGAAAGCCCAAACATAACAGAGTGAGCTATTGTGTAATGATATGCAGCTTTAAGCTCAGTACAATTCCAAATGTTCACAAAATCTACTTCAAGGGAAAGAAAGAGGATATGCATTTTTTTTTTATTTTTTTATTTTATTTTTTTTTTTTTTGCCATATGGCATGTGCATTTGCAGGAGAGAAGAGAAACAGAGAGACAGAGAGAGGGAAAGTGAGAAATCATTCCCCTAGGGGGAGGGCCACGCTGCAATCCCTTCTCCATTCTCCTTCTGGGATTTTGGACACACACGCACATGCATCTAGGCATGATATTCAAACCACCAGGTCCAGGACTCAAGCCAGGGTCAGCCATGTGAGTCCAGTGCTTTAACTACTATGCCACCTGCTGGCTCACATTTTCCTTCTTTTTTCTGTTCTTCTTCTTTGTTTTTCCTTCCTTTCTTATTTCTTTCCTTCTTTCTATCCTTCCATACAGGCCCTCTAGAGTATGGATTGAAATAATCATAATCCTTGGTTCATGACAAGCTCATTGTTTCACACACCTTATTCTCATTTTTGTCATTGAATCAGTTAATTAGTTACATTCAGCAACAGTAAGTAATTAACTGATTCAATAACATAATCTTCGACGCACCACCAAAACAAAAGTAGCATGAGCAACCAGTAGCTAGCCATGTGTGCTCTCCTTGGTGGTCTTCAGTTGTATTCTTGCCTTCTGCAACTACAAGTCATGGACACTTTGGATTTCAGATAATCAAGGAGAGTGCTAGCCTGAAGTCATCAATGTGTGATTTATTTTCAGTCTTTGACTCCATTTCCCCATCTCCATCCTAAAGATTCTTTCCAGAGTGTTCTCAATGAGTTGTGTCTGTTTAACCAACCTACCCAGTGTTGAACGTGTCTAATTATATAATTATGACCCATTAAACCTGCTCTTCAAATCTAAAATGCTGTACTTGAATATAAATTCCTTGGGGAAGGAGCAAAATGTGCAATCATTGACAAAAATCTTAGATCAAGGCAAAACATCCTTCTAAATATTACAACGAAAAATATAGAAAAAATTTTTGTTACCCAAAAACAGACAATGATAGAGCATTTTGATAACCAAAATAGAGATATCTTTGAAAAGGAGACTTTTATCAGTTTCTAAATAATTCTACATGAACATGTTTATCATATCTGCAATTTAAAAATGTTCTGCTCAGAGCCAGCAGGTGACGTAGTGGTTAAGGCATTGGACTCACACAGGGCCAACTGCGGTTTAAATCCTGAACTGTGTGGCTTGCAAATCACCCTGAATGCGTGTGTGTGTCTGTGTGTGTGTGTGTGTGTGTGTGTGTGTGTGTGTGTCCAAATTCCCAAGGGGAGAATGGAGGAGAAGGAACAGCAGTGTAGCCATCCCCCTAAGAGGTATTTTCTCTTGTATCTCATTTTTCCTTTCTCTTTCTCTCTCTCCTCCACTCTCTGGTGAGTGCATGTGCCCTATATCAAATTTTTTAAAGAGTAAAGAATAGAATGAATACTTATTATTTTCTGCACTAAGATTTCTTTTAAGGGTTTCAAGCATGTGTCTTATTTATTTGTTCCGTCAATCCTGCAATGCACTGCTTTTTCTTTCATAAATGAGGAAAACGGGAATGAAAGAGATGTTTAAAATGCAGACATCGAGTGGTGGGGTTTTGGAATGCAAGCTTGCTCCAAACCCTGAGGGAGTGTTTTTTAATGTTATTTATTTCGTTCGTCCAAATATAAGGAGAGAGATACGAGATGGAGACAAAGAGAAATTACTCCCCACAGGGTCTTGACAACCTCATCAACCTACAGCCTCAGCCAGCCCTGGATCACGGGTGTGTGTGTGCTCAGTGCACTCAGGGAGGTCTCGTGACACGAGCATAGAACCTTCCCATGTGGGTCAGACTCAAAGCATCACATTTCCCCACTGCACCCCTGCTTGTACTCCAAGTGCTGTTTTATTATAATATATATA